AATTCTGGGAGTTGAAGTCCCACCCATCTTAAAGCTGCCAAGATTGAAAAATACTGCTTTAACGTCAGGAGACATGATTTACACAGAGGCTGTCACAGATCCTGAGTATCTCCAGGTAAGTTATCTCTGCTAGGGTGGACTAGAAGAGACCCCTAGCTTGGATTTTGGGTAAGATGCTTGCAATCTAATTAGAAAATACATTGAACATTGCTAAGCTGCCCACAGTTACCCTGTGCTAAGATGGGCGGCCAATATATAATTAAGTCAGTTAGTATATAAGTAAAAATACCAGGGGCTGGGCAGAATTCAATGGCTAATAAATTTAATCAATAAATAAATTGGATAGATAGATAGATGATAGATAGATAGATAGATAGATAGATAGATAGATAGATAGATAGATAGATAGATAGATAGATAGATAGATGAGAGAGAGAGAGAGAGATATCGTCAAGGTTCTTCAAACTTGACAGCTTTAAGACTTGTGGTCTTCAACTCCCAGAATTCTTCCTCCAGTCATGTTAGTTCAGGAATTCTGGGAGTTGAAGTCCACAAGTCTTAAACTTGCCAAGTTTAACGTTTGTGGACTTTTAAGACCCTTGCCCTAGACTGGTTCTTATTTAGTTAGATAGTTTTTGTTCAACCATTATTTTTATAAACAACTCTCAAGGTGGCAAGCATGCCTATAACTCCTCTTTCCTCCTATTTTTCCCACGACAACATTGTGAGGTCGGCTGGCCTGAGAGAGAGTGACTGGCCCAAAGTCACCCAGCTGGCTTTTCATGCCTAAGATGGGACTAGAAGTCACCGTCTCCTAGTGATCAGCCCAAAGTCAGCCAGTTTTATGCGTAAGGTAGAAATAGATAGAAATAGAACTCACTGTTTCCTGGCTCTTGAAAGCCAGTCACCCAGCTGGCTTTCATGCCTAAGGAGAGACTAGAACTCATCATCTCCTGGTGATTGGTCCAAAGACACCCAGCTGGCTTTCATGCCTAAGGAGAGACTAGAACTCATCATCTCCTGGTGATTGGCCCAAAGTCACCCAGCTGGCTTTCATGCCTAAAATGGGACTAGAACTCACCATCTCCTGGTGATTGGTCCAAAGACACCCAGCTGTCTTTCATGCCTAAGGAGAAACTAGAACTCACTATCTCCTGGTGATTGGTCCAAAGTCACCCAGC